ATATTGTTTGCATCATCGTTTTTTTTAATATAACATGGTATCAAGAGTTTTCGATTTGGGGCTGTGAGGTTTTCTGTTCATGGCTGGTACGACCTCGGATTCTGTTGTGAATGGCTCGGAGGCTCTCTCCGGTGCTGGGAAGACCTTCACTAACAAGAAGGTTAGCATTTTACTTGACGAGTTTAACTTTTTGTTGTGGAAACAACAAATTCTTCTTGCTGCTCGGGGCCATCGTCTAGAGAAGTTGCTGATCGGTGAGGCTCAACCACCTGCTGCTACGATTGTTGATAGTGATGGCTCGATCACTGAAAATGAAGAGTTTGAAATATTTAAAGCTCAAGGCAGTGCCTTAGCTTCATGGCTGCTTTCCACCATCAGCCATTCTCTTCTTCCTCAACTCGTGGGGGCTGATACTTCTTCTGAGAACTGGAAAACCGTGAATTCCTTTTTTGCTAGTAAGTCAACTACAACTCTCATGAATCTTCATTACAAATTGAAGACGATCATTAAGGGTGAACTTAGTATGCGTGCCTATATTTCTCAAGTTAAGGAAGTGTGTGATGCACTTGCTGCATGTGGTAGTCCTATTTCCGAGTTTGAACGTATAGCCACCATTCTCAATGGGTTGCCGTCTGAATATCGTCCGTTCATCGCTGTTATTACGGCCAACCGCGAACCTTTTACTCTTGATGGCATTATTTCCGTCCTTGTTGATGCAGAAACTTAGCAAAAGAGTTTTGAACATTTTGATTATTTGCACATTAGTGCTAATGTTGCCTAGGTTGATCCTGGGTCATCGAGTGCTAATCGGAGGACTTCCTCTAGTGGCCAACAATCTAATAACTCTCAAGCTGTTGCTGGTGGTCGTGGTCGGGGGAGAAGCAAGTTACAGTGTCAGTTATTGGAAAGACGGGCCACTTGGTTGATCGGTGCTGGTACCGATTCGATCAGACATTTCTTGGTGTGTCTGCTTCGAAGAATAGACCTTCGGCAGGGAATACATCTCCTTCCGTTAATGTTTGTCATTATCAGAATAATGCTTCCAGCCATGCCTATAACTGTGCTGATTTTTCTATTCCTCGCTCTGTGGTGTCTTCTGGTCAAGGTCGTGGGAATGCTCCTGTGCATGGCAATCGTGGAGATCCTTCTGCATGGTTCGTTGATTCTGGTGCAACGCACCATGTGACAGCAAATGAAGAGGAACTCACTGATGGTACTAATTATAACGGTGCTGGTAATTTATTGGTTGGTAATGGTAATGCTTTATCTATTTCGAGAGTTGGTTGTTCCTCTCTTCAATCTTCTTCTCGGTCTTTAAAGCTAAATGATCTATTGCATGTACCTCATATAACTAAGAATCTCGTTTCGGTGTCCAAGCTTGCCAGAGACAACCGTGTTTATTTGGAGCTTCATGCCGATAGTTGTGTGGTTCGAGATGAAGATTCAGGTGATGTTTTGCTGCGTGGGAAGGAAGCTGGAGGTCTTTATGCTTTTACGTCCATTGGTTTGCTTAATGAAGCTGCTCGTCCTGAAGTTAATTCTGTTAAGTGTACTGAGTATGGTGTATGCCATGATCGCCTCGGTCACCCTTCACATGATGTTTTAGTTCGTTTAAAGAATAGTTGTAATGATGTCAGTTGGAAGCTTGAAAATAAAACTGAATCTTCTTTATGTATTCCTTGTCAACTGGGTAAGAGTCATGCATTACCTTTCCTTACATCAGACTCGGTTTACATCCACCATGATAAGCTATACCATGGTAGAACCGTGAAAGCATGAAAGTTGGACAAAATGCAATGAGTTTTACACGCAATAACAACCCTAAAAGAACTAAAACGCATAAAAACACCCCCGTTTTATATGATCTTTTAATTAGTTTTATTTTTATAATAATTAGTTATATTTTATTTAAAATTATTATATTTTACTGATTAAATTATTGTTACAAATTAACTGAGTATTAATTTAATTAAAAAAATAACAAAGCCCTTTAATTAATTAACTAAATATTTTTATAACTTGTTTGTATTAATTGGATATTTTAAATACTTTTGATAGTTTTAGTTTTGAAATTTAAGTTTCATACTTTTAATCTGATAAAATGAAATGACTCCTTAGAGTAAAGATTTATATTATGGTTGCGGCCGTGTTTTCGGTTGATTTACGTTTATCACATTTGAAAATATAATAAATACTATTGCAGTCACTACATATATCACAATTGAGATTTGTGTTTTTTAAATTCACACAACTTATTATGGAACATAATACTTTTAATTACCACAATGGGTTATTGAATTTTTTAATTTTAAAGTAATGGAATAATAACAGGAATAACAATCCATTTTTTCTCCTACCCGTTAAATTATGTTCGTGATTCACTGTTATTGTTGTGATTTCATTTCGCATCGCTATTTTTCACAATAGTATTTTCGGATAGTACTACTATCTAGGGATGGGTCGAGGGAGCACCCCTAAATTTTTGAATTTCTATATAATTTATATTTTGTTCTTTATATTTTTTTATTGATAATACTCTTGTTTTCGTTCTCCTAAAATTTTATAAGTTCACCCCTAACATAAAATCCTACATCCGTGTCGGTCACTGCCGCTATATAGCGGTCATTATTCCACTATTTGTCTGTAACTTAAATCCCTATCTTAGAGGACTTGGATTCAAGTAGTTGCACATGTAGGGAATGTATGCATTGTCAATGACTAAATGTTTTTTGAACAAATACGATCTTATAATCACTCTAAATAATTTAATTTTTTTTATTTATTGATCAAATAAGCATTCAATTTTTTTAAATAATTAAATCTCTTGACTATATCAACAATCAATCATAAATGAATTGTTATATGAATATTATTAACTGTCACATTAATATATTAATAGCCAACTATAATTTTTCAAATTCAATGGTTTAATAAGGTAAAATTTTGTAAAAAAAATATTCAGTTGATTTTTTTTTTGAAAAAATTTCTAACCCTTAAAACCCCACAAAATTTCTTTTTAAAGGGTAATTTTTTTATATTAGAAATATTATACGAATATGAGAAAATATATTTTTCTAGAAAATGTAAATTTTCAGTATGACTATTTTGCAATTACAAAAATTTTGTGGAAACATTCATTTGAAAATGACTTTTGATGGAGTTTTTCTTATGTGGTCGTCTCCCACTTTTTCACCAACTAATCCAAACGACAAGTATATGTAAGTACACGTTGCAGCCTTTACAATTGATATTGGTATGAAAAATATTATTTGTTTGGCGTTATCGTAAAAGTAGAATTTATTTTGATTATCGATATTTTAATTTTATAATTATTTTATTTAATATTAAATAATAGTATATTATTAATTTTTAATTAATCAACCTATTTTTATATTTATTTGTTTAATTTATTAAAAAAATGTCAACAGACAATACACAAATATATGTTTTTTACAACTAATATAAATTATTACTTTTATTTTTTTTAAATGATAATATGATGTCCAATAATTCAAAATTTAATGACATCCTTTTCACCTACCACAAAAGTGATATCATAAAATAATCAAAAGCAATCAAAGCTTAAAATTGGCTGCCCTGCTGTTTAAAACAAAAGCCATCTTTCACCTACTTAATATTATTAAGCTAACAATATATTATTAATACATCATATTTGGTAAGCTCATATTCTTTAGGGTAAATCAAGTCTTTTGCAATTCAGTTTTGTATTTGTTTTCACTTTGATCATCAAACTTTGAAATTTTTTAGTTTATCACAATTTTTAAAATTCATTTTTGGTCATCCAAAAGTGTCTTGCATCATTATTTTTTTAGTAAATTTAAGCAAAAAGAAAAACTAAAATTTTACTTTCAAAATCAGATATTTCGATTCCTTTTGGTTTATCAATATCTATTTTAAATTTTTTTAATTTATTGACAACGTACATATTCAACAAACATAATCACTAGAATCCAAAATCTCTAATATATATATATATATATATTACCATTAAAACCACTTGATAGATTGACGCACATTTAAATTTTATTCACATGCGAAGACAATAAGGGAAAAAATGTCATGTTTTATTTTTATTAAATTAATCTATATGTCATGTGATAAGGGTTATTATATAATATTTCGCTAAAAATATGAGATTTTTCCAACGTTTTCCGTGAATGTGGAGACCGGAGTCTTAATATTTTGTTTGACTTCACGTGCATTTGTTTAAATTTGTACGAGTAAACTATCCAAATGACCAATTTCATTTAATAAATGTTTACTTTTGGACATTAAATTTAAAAAGTAATATTATAATAACTTATATTATCAATTATATCATTTTAATCATTTATATTATTGATTTATAATATTTTTGTCACTGAGATACTAACGCTTTTAGTTGCTGTACCATATTATCATGGCCTTGTAGACCGGTGACCAACAAACATATAATTTTTGATCGGATTCATTTTATATTTTATTTAAAGTTTAAGAGTCAAATTAATATCTTATCTAAAATTTTAAAAGTTCAATTAATATTATCTAAAATTCAAATATCAAATTTAAAAATAACTCATTTTACTAATATTTCACATCATCAAACAGCCGACATTAAACATCTCAATGATCAAATCATGACAAATAGATAAGACGATAACAAAAGTCATCAAAATATTATAAATCAATAACATAGTTACAAAAGTGTTACATTTTTAAATTCAACGACCAAAAGAAAATACTTATAAAATAAAAGTGACCATATTGATAGTTTACCCAATCTTTTGAAAAGATATCGGTGAATTTACTTTGGTAGCCTCATCTGAAATACCTGAATGACACTCAATTGGTGATATTTGTCATTTAATATTTTAATAAAAGGCAAAAACAATTAATAAATATTTTACTAAGTGAAGTTTTTCTGGTGGACCTCACAATCCCTCCTCTCTATCTCGCCGTCAAAGAAAAAAAAGCAAATTTTCTGGAGAATTTGATTTAGTGTATATATATAAAGCTCGAATGTATGTAGGTTAACACTGTCTACATTTATCGGGGTTCATTAGCAATAGTTTGGTGATGATTGGTGTATTGTGTGCACGACCTCCTAAGCCTTGGATCCTCAACGCTCTTACTCTCATCTCTCACGGTGGTGGCTCAGCAGCTCACCACCACGATAATCGATTGTTGCATTGGCCCAGGCCTGATAATCGACGTTGTGGGCACCATACTACGGCTTGCCAGCTCGGTGGCTTGGAAAGGGGTGCGGCTTCTATATGGCATGCCATTTTGCCGTGCGGTGGAGACCGTGGAGGAGTAAAGAGTAGAGGGGAGGCGTGGAAGAATGTGGAGAGAAGGGGAGAAGGCTCCTGGAATGTGGCTTGGGATGCTAGACCTGCTCGGTGGCTTCATCGACCGGATTCTGCTTGGCTTCTCTTTGGAGTTTGCGCCTGTCTAGCACCAATGGTTGAATCGGTTGATGTTAATCTCGAGGATGATTTCAAAGCCGATAGTGTTGAATTGAATATCCTGGGTGCTGACGGAAATAATCGTTCATCTCCAATTGCTGCTGCTGCTGATAATTACAAAGTTACAGGTTAGTTGCAATAAATTAACAGTGATTGATTGCTAACAACTATTTTCAATTTTTAATATTAAAAACCCAAATTTGATGTATATTTAATCGATAATTGCAGGGATTTTAGCCGACGGGAGATGCCTTTTCAGAGCAATAGTTCATGGAGCTTGCTTGAGATCCGGAAAAGAAGCACCTGATGAGAATCGTCAAAGAGAACTTGCTGACGATTTGAGAGCTCAGGTAATTTAGGAAAACTTAAAATATAAAAACGTTTTAACTCCAAAAATAAATTACTCAAATACCGTTTAAATTACACATTAGCTTCATAGATTTCTTTTCTGATACATAGAAATGCTTCATAGTTTCGTTGTCCTCCCAAATGTTCAATTATGTAGGTTGTGGATGAGTTTTTGAAGAGGCGTGACGAAACCGAATGGTAAAGCTTTGTCTTTGTTATATCAGAAAAGTAATCCTTTTTTTTTCATTTTTATTTTGTCGTAGTTTTTATTAAGCATAGTATTTCATTCGATGTCCGCAGGTTTATCGAGGGCGATTTTGATTCGTATGTAAAAGAAATTCAACATCCTTATGTTTGGGGTGGAGAACCTGAGTTGTTGATGGCTTCTCATGTCTTGAAGTGAGTTTTATGCTACTTCTTACCTGCTTTACATCGTTAGAGCCCGAATAACATTGAATTTTGATTGGTTAATTGTCGTGCGATTACTGCAAGTTATATGCTTCCCTGCCAACCTGAAATCGTCATTTTGTGTTATCATGCTTTCATTAATCTTGTAAACATTGTGAATAAACTATGTTTAAGCCACTGTTTGATAGTTACTGCTTGAGCTTTTCGGTTGGCATGTGCCTTACGCATGAAACTAAGCTGATGTCCCGTAGAATGTTATCAAAGCAAAACCGTAGTTGTTCGTTCTTTTGCATTATCCGAATTGTATTTGACACACTATTTTCATTCATTGGACTCAGGATTCCGATATCAGTGTACATGGCTCACAGAAGTTCTCGTAATTTGATAAACATAGCAAACTATGGTGAAGAATACCAGAAGGACAATGAGACTCCTATTAATGTCCTTTTTCACGGGTATGGTCACTACGACATATTGGAGTCATTGCCAGAATTAATTTCCACCAAATAAAGACAAGTTTAGTCTTGTTGTATTATTTTGCATAAAAATAAGCTTGAGCTTATTCTAAATGGAGGAATTCCATTGAATCATGGAGGAGTCTATGATGTTTGATAAATTAGCTTGCATCTACCTCAGCTATTGCAATAAGGTCGATACAATTTTGTAACTTTCGAGGGTGTTTCATCACTTTTAGAACTCAATTGGTGAAACATAGTAGTTGCTTTGGTTCTTTTTAGAATATATTTTTGAATTCGAACTATTTGGTCTTGTTTTCAGCTTTTCTTTTCAACATGCTGTGTAAGTGTTTATTTTCCTCTGTTTGAGGGAGTTCATGAAGCCATTGTGGATTCACTTGATAGGTGCTTGAATCCTTGTTCACTTAAGCTTAATAAGTGTGCAAAATATGCAGGGAAATGAGAGAGAAAAAGCATTCATTTGATTGTGTAAATTCCTCTTGCTGCTGAGTTTCAAGTCCAATTGTCTAGATTAAGCCGTGTGTGAGTGTCGGATAGAGTATGTTTCGATGCGGGTATAATTAGATAGCATCGAATATGAGTACTTAGGATATCTGATTTGATTTGAACGGTGAAGATTTAAAGGCAGTACACTGCTAATCTTTTAGGCTGCCCCCTCTAACAAGGAAAGAGCAGTGGTTGGGGTTGGAAAGTTGAGGGCCAGAAGTAAAGAAATGGTATGGTTAGATGCATATACGTCCTTAATGATTAAGGATTTTGTTGCTTTCGAAACAGAGGAAATAAACTTTGGAAGTAGTAGTTGATTTGGGTAATCTAAAATGCAACTTGTTAATGTAAAATTGAAAAATGATAGAAATGATTGCAATCGAATTGAAAATGTTATCAAGAGTGTAACTTTTTAGGATGGATATATAATATTTTAGGTTGAATCGAAAATGTTACATTCTTCCTAACCTTTTCGATTGTAACTGAAATTGTTACAAATTATATAACTTCACTGATTGTAAATCCTAATATTACTATTATGGAACATTTTCGGTTGCAACTGAAACACATTAAAATTTATATAATATTTTAGATTGAACAAAATAATATTGAGTTGAAAATTATCTTAAATTAATGGTTGTATAATAGAACCACCCGTTGATTTGAGTATATTATCTTTGCTAGGGTATTAACCAAAAAAAAAATAGTTTATAATATTTTAAAATTTAAAATAAGTTATTGTATTATTTTTTATTTAAAAATTATCATTCTGTCTTTTACTTGGTAATTATAAAAAATATAATTTTTATTTTTTAGTCTCATGTTTATAATATTATAAGAGTCAAATTGATAAAAAATTGTAAATGTAAAAGATTTAAAAATTATGTCTTATTATAATTATAAAGTTAACAATAAATTAAACAAAAGTTAGGGAAAAATTTAAAATTTACAATGAAATAATATGTTAATTTTACAAAAATATACTATAAGAGTTAAATTTTAATATTTAAAATAGTATATTGAACATATTCAAATGTAAAATAATACATAAAATGTTTAACATATTTCACAAATCATTGATATCTTAAAACTTTTTTCCCCAATGTGTCTCACGTTATAAATTATGTATTATTTGGTCCCCAACCGTACTTCAACCACCAGCTGTCTTCATAAAATATGTTCAAAACCCTTGGAACCGTTTCCCGATAAATGAATTTAAAATGTTGTAAGAATGAGTATCGATAAGTACTACTAACGATAAACACTATTAATTTAATTTATAAAAAATTAAAATTTTAAAGTACTCAAGTATAATTATAATTAGTTAAAAAAATTAAAGGTAAAATATTTAAAATAAAGGGTAAACTATAAAAGTAATCACCGAACTATTACCCTTTCTCATTTTGACTATCATTTTTGAAACTTTGTCAATCAGGTCACTCAACTATTTAAATGCAATCAATTAAGCCACTTATCGTTAATATTTAACAAAAAAGCTGATGCGACAGTTAAAATATTTGATATAATTACAAATTTGGTCATTATTACTTATATGTTCTATCAATTTGGTCCTAATTTTAATAAATTAAAATAACTTTACTCTCAAATGGTGCCATGTTTAATGACAAGTGTAATGTCTTTGACCCAAAATCCGATTGGTGAAAAAATATATTAAATTAAAAAATAAATTAAAATAAATTTAATTGTCCAAACGGATGGTATCACATGCCATTACACTTGAGATCATTTGATTTGAGGGCTTATTTTAATTTATTAAAATTAGGACCAAATTGATAGAATATATAAGTAATAGTGACCAAATGTGTAATTATACCAAATATTTTAACTGCCACATTAGCTTCTTCATTAAATATTAACGGAAAGTGACTTAATTGAATGTATTTAAACAGTTGAGTGACTTGATTGACAAAATTTCAAAAATAGTGCTCAAAATGAAAAGGGACAATAGTTAGTGGTCACTGATATAGTTTACCCTTTATTTTAAATAATTTATCTTTAAATTTTAACTAATTTATAATTATACGTTGAACCCTTTAAAATTTTAAATTTTTATAAATTAAATTAATGGTGTTCATCGTTAGTAATACTTATTAGTGCTCGTCGAACGTTGTAAAATTTTCAAATGTTTTAAACGTACCTTTGAATTGCATTGTTATTTAATATTCAAAAATATTAATTTTATTCAAAATATTAATAGATTTTGGACTTGAATATTTAAAACTCAAAACGACCTTATCTCATTTTTTTCTTAAACAAAACTAAAGATTCTTGAGTGATGATGCACTCTACCGTAGATGGGAACTAGTAACGTACGCATAAATTTATGATAGGAGATACGGATTCAAGAAGTTATATTAAAAATTTTAAGAGTTGCAGAGTTATAAAATTTTCCTAAAATTTTAGAGAGTACGAAATTAAATAATAAATAAAAAATATAAATGAAGCAAGATATAAAGGAATTTGAAAATTCTAGGGAATGCAACTGCACTCCCTAGCACTCCTAGGTCCATCCCCAGGGAAACATCGAAAATTATCCGCCTAAAGGTTGTCCTCGATATAATTTTACTAAAGCATCTGTTATATAACTTTACTTGTGTGTAACGTGATGGAATTGTATCTCCTAATCTCTTTGAATGAACATTTGGATTAATTCATTATGAAATTGTTGTGCAATGTATTTGAATTTTTGAGCCACCCAAATAGTTTTAATGTTATCTATCTCAATCAAAAGCTTCTTAAAGTTCAATTGTCCAACATGCTTGAGTGTTTTATGGAGTGCCCAAAGTTTCGAAAGAATTACCAAGAGTTTTCTATGCTCCTGGAGAAAGAAAAAAAAAAAAAAACTAGCAACCTTCATAATACTTGAAAACCCACTTCATAGTTGCATCGTCTCCAATACCTAAGATAACCCCATCCATATTAATTTTAACCTAATTTACCCGTGTCCGTTGCCATGAAGTTGATGATTTTACTTTAGACCTCGGGACAACACATTTTTGAAGAACATGATCAATTATTGAAATATGTGTATAAGATAGTTTGTTATTTTAGTTAGAAGGTGGTTACGAGGCGGTTAGATGACTATCATATTATTTGTAAAGTATATATAGTGTAACACCCTAATCCAATTAGACCCGAAAATCCATGAATTACAATGTTACACGGACTACCGAAATAGTGACCCAAAATTTTCTTTTAAAACTGCTTATAAATCTCTAAAATTTAGACATTCATAATGTAATACAAAAACATAATAATAAACTAGATTTACAAATAATAGGGAGCTCCCAAAATACATCCTCAAATAATATAAAATACTAAGTTTCAAAAGTGTTATGACTAAATACATAACAATGTCCATTACAGTACACGCCCTTTAAAGATGACTCAAGACGTACTCTGAAAGATTTCTGAAAATCGGAATCTGTTGCACTAGAATATCTGATGACGATAGCTCCCCACCCTAAGAACTCGTGCACTGAAACACATTTCGAACGCTGAGCTTACGAGCTCAGTGCCTCACTGAAAACTGTACTATACTATATGCATTCACTAGATGAAGTGACAAGTGGCACAGGTCTGAGTGTACAACTATTGGACTTCTAATATATGACTAGTATCATGGTGCGACTGAGGGATTCTGCATCTCGGAGATCACGCACCCCTCTAGCACTACCGAAGCACTATCAGGTACTCTTGGGTGAGATATGGATTTCTGCATCGGAACGTACACCAACCGACTTACTCTGTCGAGTCTTAGGGCATCTGCGTCCAATCGGCTGCTATAGTGCCCTGACACTGACTTGGATCCACTAATTGTCGTATTTTTGCTAAAAGGAACTCGAGTGTCCTGATTGTTTCCCGAGCGTCAACCAAGGCTAGTTTTGTGTAAACCTAGCTATTTTTGTTTCTACTGTTATGATATTAATTATTGTTCTCGCTTGAAATCTTATTTGAGGATATACTGACATGTTGGGATATCTCGAGTCTAATTCCCTCAAAAACTGGTCTCTTTATCCAAAAACAGACTGAAAGTATATATACTAACCCAAGAGTATCGATATTCCTATAAAAGTTTGATACTTTATATAAGTACCGGTACTTTTAAACATTATGTTCTGCCTAGTTTCGAAACTTTCTGGGAGTTTTGAAACTATGATCCAAAGTATTGATACTCTTACCCAAAAACTCACGAGTTTGCCTGTGAAGAAGAACAAGTTTCGATACTATCCCTCTAGTATCGAAATTCAACATGTATAGAGCATAAAATAGGTGCAAAAACTCCTATATACTATTTCAAAGACCTTAGTGAGGTCCCCAAACATTATTAATGTTTTATGAAGATACAAAGGATCATAAATAAGGTTTTAGACATGTTTATAACTCTAAAACATGAAATATACCATGAGAATGCTTCAAGCTTATGCAACTTACTACATTTTATCTAAATGACTTACATATGGTATAGTTGAGTCAAGAGTGAGTTACCTTTGATGCTAAACTGCTGAAAACACCCAATGCTCAACCAAAGGTGATTTTCTCATTCCCTTTAGCTTTGAAACTTTCTCCAACTTCCCTCACTAAATAAGATTCAAAACAAAGATTACTAGATGAAAGTGAAGGCTAAAAAGGTTTTAAAAACACTTTCTATAGCTAGGAAACACTGAAAACGAGCTCGATTCTCTTTGCTTAAACCCCTTCAAAACTTGTTTTTTGTATCCATCACCAAACCTTATA